CGCGGTGATCTTCTTGTTACGTAAACAGTGTGATAGGGGTTGGCTGGGTTACATCTAAGAAATTTCCTGCAATTAACATTTTAGATGAAAGCACAAGAGGTTCAGCTTGCATTCCCTTTTTTACTTGAAACATTGTTGGGCATTAATCTATTGAAATTTTCTATCACTAAAATAATCGGCAAATTAACAATTGAAATTAATCAGTCATCATACATGTAATAATTGAATCGATGGATGAAATTAATTCTTAATTAGTCCATAATCAGTCACATCAAAGTTTGATTAATAATTAATTTTACCAATAAATGAAATTATTTGAAATTTCATATGTGACGTTTGTGATTAATTATTTGAAATTTCATATGTGACGTTTGTGATTAATTTTGATTATTAAGCTGCAGACAATTTTTGCAAAAAACAAGAATCGATTAATGTCTAACACAAACTTGAAATCCAAGAGCAACTGTTTCGCAGTGATCTTTTTATTATGTAAACCGAGGGAGTAGGAGAGTGCACCAGACCATCCAAAAATTTTGTAAAATTGATATTTTATATGAAAATAAAAGCGCGCGAGAGAGATTCAGCTTGCATTCTCCTTTTTACTTCCAGAAATCCAGAAGTAAAACGGATTAGGTCTTTTCTATTTCTTGTATACTTTGGACGGATGAGAATCTTATTGATATTAAAACTCTGTCCGTTTAATGATATAAAAGGAACGGTCTATCTGAAATGAAATGCGGAACTGCGGAATCGGTCGCTGTGTCGCGAACAGCGGCCGATGACGAGTGACATAATTGGCTTATCAACTCGAAGTAATCGCAATTCAATCCAGCGATGAATGCACTGACACTGATACGATTACGGAGCGCGGAGCCGCTTCGCAACGTACCCTCGTCAGCTCCACGGACAAGACAATTATACCGACGTTAATTGACCAGAAACGGCGGTCTCTTCTTGCTTTCAGTCCTCACCCGCGTGTGTTCGACTGCGTCTTCATCGAGAGTTCGACGGTGGCATTCCGCGCTTTAATCAAGTTGACGGTCTGGTAATCGCGCGCACGATTCATTAGAACTTTTTCTACCCGTCGATATTAATACATCGTGTGCATTTTATTTATGAAGAAATATTTTTAAAAGGTCAGGGCGCTCTTTTTTTATCCACAAGTACGTTTTACGTTCCCATTTTTTTTTTTACGTTCTCTTTGCGTTATTTTTACTTCAATAACGTAGAAATCTTATTACGTTTACAAGAATGTAGCATGAGAATCATGCGTATTAACAATAAACCGATATTACGGCACGCGCAAATGAATACGTCAAACATTGATGAGAACTTTCCTCATCTGTTTTTATCACGCGCGATAAGTCTCATAAAAAAATAATTACAACTTTGTAGACCTACATCGTAAGGTTTCGAGATTAAAGAAGGATCTGTTAGAAGCTGCGTGAAATTGTTCGCTTTCCACCTAGGGGCGTTAATCATTTCTTTATTGTCATCATATTCGCCCGATCATTGTTTAGTGCTCTCTAAAGTACAATCAATGTATTTCTTACTAAAATGCTATACTTATAACCAGTGATTCACTTGTAAGTATAGCACTGCAGTCAGTAAAATTTCGCTGAAAGAATTAGTTGATAAACTAACAAGTAAACCTATCTAAAGATTACATTCCAATTTCTTTCTAATTTGGCACAAATGTAGAAATACAAAAAATATTTAGATCATATTTTTCCATTTTGGCTTTGAATTTATCAGGCAGTTTATAGCCTTTTAATATTCTTATTTCTATCATCAAGTGCAACAAAAATATATAAGAAATAAAATTGAATATAGATATAAACGTTTTTTATTTGCTAATTATGAATATGAGGTCATGAGTTGCTAATTACAAATATGTAAAATTATTTATATAAATAATAAAATGTTTAAACAAAACATGTAAAAAATTGAAAAAAATTATACAAATAATTTCTCAGTTTGGCCAAGATTCGAACCATTTTTTACTAATTTAATACAGATTTGAAATATATAGTTGGAATTTCAGCTAAAGAGATTTAGAATGATTCGTGTCTCAGCTATACCGATTTTGTTAAAATTATTTAACTATATCTTGTATTCAATTTTATTTCTTATGCATTTTGTTACACTTGTTGATGATAGGAGTGAGAATATTAAAAAGCTTTAAACTATCTGTGAAACTCAAAGTAGGCCAAAATGAAAGAATGTGACCTAAATATTTGTTGTTCTTCTACATTTGTGCCAAATTAGAAAGAAATCGGAGTGCACCTTTTGGGTAGGTTTACTTATAAGAGGACAAAATATCTGAGAAACAATAAATATTTATTTGATGGGTACTAACAGCACATATTTATTTACTTATTTTAATATAAAATACTTTTCAAATAAGGAAATATACTTTTGTTTTAGTTTTAAGAAAATTTTAGTTTTTCATAGAAACAATCATTTATTCTAAATAATAGGAAAAAGGGCTAATTCGAGTTCAAGCATAGGATTAATAGTGCTATGTACCATATGGGTAAAACCTTCCTTGTGTTAGGAAATAGAGCAATATTTATTGAACATGAATATTTAAACCGAAATAATCCACAATCATATTAATATTAAAGTTGTATTAGTATTTAATAGTACTAAGACATCCGTGCTAGCTCCTTATGTGCCATTAATATTTCACTATTAATGAATACTTAATATAAATAATCAAACGTTTCGGCTCAATCATGAACCCTTTTCAGTGATATAAAAACTCAAGGATTACAAAACGAACGCATTACAAGTAAAAGTATTAATTAAAGACCTTAATAAAATGAATATTATTCGCGGTATTATAACTGACAAGACCGTTACCCGACTAATATTAAGAAGCTCAAATTAATACTAGAAAGTAGCCGTCATAACTATAAAAAAACCATAAAATAAAATAAAAATAGGTAAGATTAAAATATAATAAATAATTAAAACAGTCAATATAAATTACCTTTGTTGAGCTCGGCTAAAAGTGAAACGATCCTGTCAACGATAACATCGCCACGTCTAAGTAATAGAGATAATAACAGATTTATATACACGAGCATTAACATTGCGGCGACGACTCGTGGAAGAAAAGGAAACAAAGTTTTATTTTCATAATAAGTCGCAGTAGCTGTTGCCCAAATATTCTGTGTTCTTTTGAGAGTTAAGTCCATGCTTTTGAAATTTAATGTAAATCATTTCTGATATTAGGCGTTTCAAGTAATAACGTTCCTCATGCAAAACTTTGGCTTGATCCCAATTGAAATCATGGTTTTTCTTCAAACGGTGTTCCTGTATGGCCGTTAACTCAACTGTAGAACTCCTTGGTATTCTCCTATGCTCAGCAATGCGCGTAGAGAGTCTTCTACTAGTTTGACCAACATACGACATATTTGTCAAATTATTTTTAAAAAGCTTTAAAAAGTCTGTTCGAAACCACACCAAAAAACGGTATGGTAAAATATTTTTTATCATAACCAGAAGCTGTCAAATTTTTAACTATCTCTGAACCTCGTCCACAATTCACAATAAGAAACCTCAGTCTACATTTTATAATTTTAAAAATTAGGTCAAAAGGATAATTATTATCATTTATTCTGTTTATTCTATTTCATTTATTCTATTTAAGTTCTATTTATTTCATTTATTCTATTCATTTATTCTATTTATTCTATTTCATTTATTCTATTTAAGTAAAATAATTTAGATTTCAGTAAATGTGCTATTAATTTCCCCTACCAAATAAATATCTACTAATTTTTATATATTTTTTCTCTCAGTGTAGTAGTGACTCTGTTCCTGTTATTGATGCAATTTGCAAACACAGACAGCGTCATTGTATACAAATCGTACGGAAACCGATAATTCCATCGTCAAAAACGCAGAGAGTTGAATTTCGCACAACGTATAACGAATTTGTTAGTAGTATAGTTGCTTTTGCAGTGAAATTTTTTTCCGCTGTGTCAAAATCAGTGAAGTATGAGATAAAGTAATAATGCTTTATTGAAAATCGGTGAATATTCACTAATTATCGGTAAGATACTCCTTTTACTGATTTAATCAGAAGCATTTATAGTGATTCATTTTAAGAGAGTAGCATTTCGGTAGCATGATGTTTGGTAGTCCACCTCCAATTTTTGGTAATCAGGATAATAATTTTTCCGGGAAATGATTTTTTAACTTTAAATTTTTTAATTTAAATTTTTCGAAGAAAAATAAGACACGCATATGCACGGTCGAACTCGTGTCTCGTCCGCGTATTTAATTAAAGCCATAAATTCCACATTTCAGTCAAGCTGCTGCCCCTGTTTTATTTAAGGTTTTATCGTGATGGCGAATTTATCGTTCACCTGCAGTTTTATTTCGGCACCGACGGGCGTGCAAAGTGTTCGTATAATAATCCGTGTTCTCTCTTCGTCTCGGCTCAAATCGGCCGAAACTTTCGTAATAAAAGTTTCAGCCTAATCACGACCACGGCCGGTAATCACGCTTAAATGAGTTATTACCGGGAGGTCGTGTTACACCGTCGTTTCTTTCAATTTATCGATACTGTGCGCTCACCCACGAGGAGGCTCCTCGCGAAACATCATTTATCTTGCCGTCGCCAATCGCGGTTCTTAGATAAGCGACAAGCGGTGACTTATGGCGCGGAAATATGCAACGCATGAAGCGCTAAATGTGACTATACAATGTTTTTTATCATTCAGGCGAGAAAGTTTATATAAGAAGGAACAATAAGAATGATTATAAATTCTTTTCATAATTGAAAAACACGTGTATATATTGTAATTTTATTGATTACTATCTCGTCGTATTTTTCGTAAGCTACCTCTTTTAACATGACTATATGTTACGATTAAAAGGAGGATTTTTTTTTTTAATTATGGTGTACAGTAAGGAGGGAGGATTCGATGATAGACGCGATCACGAACGCATTATGGTCTCTATATTAGGACAAAAATGCATACAAGGACGAGGTGGCCGAGTGGTCAAGGCGTTGGACTGCTAATCCAATGTGCTCTGCACGCGTGGGTTCGAATCCCATCCTCGTCGATTACTTTTTTTTTATTTCTTACAAAACAGTCAGAGTATTGTACGTGTAACGTCGTCGTGAACAAGTAATTTTCTATACCGGATGCTCGTATTGCGTTTGTATTTTCCACACAAATTAGCGACCTATGTTCCTCGACAATCTCAAAGCTGAAGCTCCGAAAGCAACACTGTCTAACTTGTGCTTCTCAAATTCACTTCGTGAAGTTGTGAAAAGTATTATCAAAGTAACAATACTCTGATCACAGCCTCATAATGATATAGACTTCGGTCGTATCGATTGGAGTCAGAAGTCACAAAAGATGAACGGAATAAAAATTTAGAGACGGACAATTTTTACAAACCTCCCCGATACGGGAAATGTTGACGGTGTTCGTTAATTGATCTCGCGTCCAATTTCCATGTAGATTCGTATTGTATTTCCGAATAAAAAAAGAACAAAATCTCCTCGACGGGGAATCGAACCCCGGTCTCCCGCGTGACAGGCGGGGATACTAACCACTATACTATCGAGGAATCACGGTTGGGAAATTTCCAGCAGTAGTACTGAAGGGACTGCGCTCCGCTGCAAAAATTTCTCATCGTGATCCCTCTTGTGATTTCTCTTTAAACCCGAGATATCACGAAAATTCCGCAGCTGTAATTATTTTTATGTCAAACACATCGTTCGTAAAAAAGATGGGGAAAGTTTAACTTGCTATTTTCTGATATATTCTAAGTATATTAATTGCCATTTCTTGTATTCTTGAAAAGTTGACATTTGTAATGTGGCAAACGCGTCTGCGAATGCAAATTTCTTCTTCAAATATTCGAAGGGATGCTTCTCAGGCTTAATTTTACTAACAAATTCCTTAAGTCAATTTCCAGCTCTGCCGAAGTGAAATATTGAGATGTTGCCAAGTTTCGAATATTTAAGAGATCGAAGCGAACTGCGGGCGGGCAGTTGAAAACGAACGCAATTAATACTAACTCAATTACGGACTGCGTAATTTCCTCTTGAGTGCATCCCCCGAGTCGGACAAATTGAATCCGACTTCGCGTCAAGAAGAAAGCTCAAACGGTACAGCCAACTCTTGCGTCCCGCGACAATCGATAATGTGAGACGTCTCCATGGTTCCGAGCGGTTTAGAGCGTGGCGCGTGCTTTCACGAACCGGTGTTTATCCCTCGGCAGTGCTGTAACTCTAGGCTAGAGAGCACCGTTAGATACGCGAAGGAAGGAAGGAAGGAAGGGACCCTAAAAGCGCGTCGCGCGCTAAAAAGACAACGGGAAGTTATATGATGGTGCCGCGGATCGATTATTCTCGGTATACACACCCAGCCAGCCAGCCAAGCCAGCCACCCACAATGCTTACTGTCGCTCCCGATTTACTGTTGCTCACATTCTTGGCGGTTCAGTATAAATTCACGTGTTCTCGATAGAAAGCGCCGGCAGGGTTGGCGGGTCGGGGCTGGTGGCAGAGTGCTTAAAAGCGGCCGGAGATAACAATTTGCGCATTAGGCGCGATTTACACATTCGCTCGTGCCGTTACTGACGTGTACACGGTGTCTCCAGGAGCACACAGTCCCTGCGCTGAAAGTGGAAAATATTTGAGCCTAGTTTACGATACAAAAGGAGAAATCGAAGATAGTAACATCTCAAAAGCAAGTGATATTTCTTGACGAACTTAGAACGATTTCGCAAAATGGCCTAGAAAAATTGAGATAATTGACAGCTGCTGATTTGTCGTTTACTTCGTTGTCGTTGCAATCAGAATTATTGACAATTTTATTTCCTTGTTTTTTCGCGCGTTCCAATAGTTATAAATTTCGGCGACACCGTATATAAGACGGTAGGAAACGGTATTACGATCCGTAATTATGCGACACTCGTAACATTCATTATCTAGTGAGTGTCTAGCGGTAGCTTCTCTCACGGCCCGCTTATGGTCTTATTAAGCACTTTTTCATACTTGCTTCACGTTTATATCACGTGATAAGCAGCGATTTACTGCGTACGATAAAACTGAGTTTACCCAACCATGATTCTTGACTTCGCCGAGTTCTGTATGTTCTTTACGCTTTTCTAATTAAAACATGCAATTGCCATGCATATAATGCGCATATTTAAGTAACACGGGGGTACGAAAAAAGTAATACGAGAAATACTCCGCGGAATTAATTCTAATGGTTCCACTTACCGCGCGCATAACATTTGATGAAGATAGTGTTCCCCGGTACCGTAGAAATGTTTTACTATAACAGGGAATATTGCAGAACCCGAAGCGTTTTGAGATCACAAAAGAGTCGAGAGGAGTAATTTTCTAGTAGTACAAACAAGAAATACAAACAAAATAGTAAAGATTTTGTCAAAGTTTCACACATGTCCGGCGATAGAGACTCGTTAAATGAGAATTAAGATTTCTACACTGTAAAACTGATGTGTTAAATTTAACACATTTCATGTATCTCAAATCATTCACTTTCATTTATGTTTAACACAAATGTGTTAAAAGATAACACGCATAATATGGAAAAAATTAACACAAGAATTTAACACTTGAATACCGTTAGGAATCACAGATTGTGTTAAATTGACATATTTAATATGTTAGACATAGATTATGTCAATTTAACATTTTTATTTCATCAAAACCATACTCTCTTAAAATGAATCAGTCAAACATCACTGAAAACAGTGAATACACATTGATTTGCAGTTATAAGTATAGCACTGAAAATGCTCAGTGCTATACTCCTAACTGATATCAGTGACTATTTACTGATTCACTTTAAGAGAGTAGATTAATACTTCTCTCAAATGTTAAAGTAACGTTTTATTTTAGTTAATTTGACATTATACATATGTCAAATTAACACAAATTGTGATTCCTGACAGTATTCAAGTGTTAAATTCTTGTGTTAATTTTTTACATATTATGCGTGTTACTTTTTACCACATTTGTTTTGTGTTAAATTTACACATAAATGAGAGTGGATGATTTGGGACACATAAAATGTCAAATTTAACACATCAGTTTTTACAATATATAAATAGCGTAGCGATATTCATACGTGCACAAATTTTCTCAATCGCATTGAGAATGCATGTACGAAGCAATTGCCATGTGTCTATACTAAAGACAGTCTATTTCAACAGCCCGGCTAGCTCAGTCGGTAGAGCATGAGACTCTTAATCTCAGGGTCGTGGGTTCGAGCCCCACGTTGGGCGATTCTTTTTTTTTTACATATCTCTCGAGATCTTATCTGAACGTTACTTGTCACATAGATATAAAGATTTTCACGTATTTCACAAACTGCGTTTGTGTGTCGCTAAAAATACTTTATTTCCTCTCTTATTTCTACACTTCTCACACGTCATGTCCGATTCTTATCGAAGTTTCTTTATGTAAAAATATATACATTTACATATAATTGTATCATTAACGAAGTTTTATTTAGGTATCTTATTTTTTTATGAACATTTTTTATTCAATTTATTGGATTTTCAAGGAGATAAACGTGCACTTCGCGCTATTAATATGAATACAAGGTACACGATAATCTGTGTATTTATATACTCTTATATTTCTCTCTCTCTCTCTTTCTAACATAAAAATAATTGGTAATCTATTTTTACTATTAATGACGTTCAAACAATGCAAATAGATTCAAGCTGTGATGAATTTTGCTCGAGGCGTCCACTTTTCTTTCTTGTTTAGACAATTCGGTTTTGGTCGTATGATTCAGGATGGCAAAAGAGAATTTCGCCCTCGGGTGGGCTCGAACCACCAACCTTTCGGTTAACAGCCGAACGCGCTAGCCATTGCGCCACGAAGGCGATCTGTTGAGCACTTTTTCTTGAAAGCAGCCACGGATACGAAATCGCTTTTGATAACAAGATCAAGGTTCTTTTTCATAATCATATCACGAATTCGGCATTGAGTGCCGTCGTTTGTCTCTAAATTCATCGCTAGCCGTATGTAAGTTTTACAAGATGGACAAATTTATTATATTTTAAAGTCGCAACGTGCAGAGCAAGAAACATGCTAGAAATTGTTTTTATTTGTTATTTGTTTAAAAATAGATAACTAGAATAGATAGCTCGGCAGTGGTCCTTTTAGTGAGTGAGTAATCTCGTAATATTAGCCCACGCGAGTTTTATTTCTGAATTTTATTTGTTAAATAAAACACACGGATGAATTGAGAAGTACAAAGTACATTGCAGGAGATTTGAGCTCTCGCGTAGACGGTTCGCGGTGAAATCCGGGAAAGGCAAACGAACTCCTCGGCAACGAGGAAGTCGATGGATCACAAACACGGTTGTTCAAACAGTTTCACATCCTCCATTGCGCAATAATACGATGTAGACGTAGTGTTCAACAATGGAAAATTCTTTTAGCTTCCCAAACAATGTCGATATATTTTAGACTTCTCTATCTGATGCTATTCTATCTTCGAGTCTATCATGGGATAGAATTTCGCGTTTATTGCCTCTCCGTGTCCCCTTCGGTCGTATCGGACCTCGAAGGTAGATTTTTCTCTAGACAGACTGTAAGATCGATGGTATATCGATCGATAAAGGTTCTACGCAAATACTTATATACTACAATATATGTGAGGGAAGGAATCGATATGCACATGCCATATACATTGTCGAAATTGTCGTACAAGAGAATTCACTTACTCTGAGAATGTTTAAAAGATAAAAAAGAAATATTCAGCGGGTACCCCAGTAACATATTTATTTAAATCCAAATTTTTTAATTTAAATAGAATAAACAATTATAAAGAGCTACATTTTAAGAAAATTTATATTAAATTCATTAAATTTATATTATTTTATTAAATTTTCCTAAAAAAAATATTTTATATTAGTCCAAGTAAATGTGTGTGTGTGTGTTGTGTGTGTGTATGTGTGTTATTAATAACTCTACTGAATAAATATTTCTCATTTTTAGGATATTTTTTCTTGCAATGCACGAAATTTACGGCCCAATACGCAGCAGTTATTTTTATGTAAAA